GCCAGCCAGGGCATATAGAGTCTAGTCATGTTAACATAGTTAAAAACCAGACTATCAGAGATATCAAGAATTGTTCTTAACATTGAACAATGGAAGGACCAGAGGGAATAGGGGCTACCTTTGCTAACTTCCACGTTTCCACGTTTATTGATTCTGTGTGCATTTATCTCAGTCTCTCTAAAATCATGACTAACGATCTGTCTTTCACTTTCTCTCCAGCTTCCCGCCCACACCCCCACACTCTATGCTGGGAATAGTCATTAATATTCAAAGGAACTGGTTTTCCTTCACTCCATTTCTTTCTCATCAAACACTCAAAGGAATGAGGTGGCAGGATCTAGTCAGCCTCAGTGAATAACATCTAACTACCAGAAGGGAGAAGATTGTCATTTGAAAGACAGGGGCAAAAGGGGACACTCCCAAACAGTGAATTTAAAAAAGCTCACAAACGAACAACAAACCCTACACCCAGAGAAAGCAGATAATTGAAATCACACATCAACATAGAACCTTAACTGTACCTGCCTTGTAAAGTTTTGTGAAAATAAAATAAGTTAATGTATGCTTGGGAGGGTGGGGGGACAGCACAGGAGAGGAAGACCCTGGATGAGATGGATTGATTCAGTGACTGGGCTAATTGAGGTAGGTGAGTCTGAGACAATAAGGTTGGGTCAGGATAGAGCAGGGTTTAGGTCTGTTGTGCGTAAGGTTGCTATGAGTCACACGTGACTGGACGGGACATAACAATCCATTTAAAGTATTAGAACAGTACCTGATATCTGAAAGCCTTGGGTAGTGTAAACTAACGTACTTGGCAGCTCAACAAATTCTTGGAGGTTTGAGTTCATGCAGAGAGAGAGACCTTAGAAGAAAAGTATGGTAACATACTTCTGAGACCCACAGATAATGCGTTGAGATTAATTTCATGGTAACTAGTTTTGCTTAGTTGTTGTTATGTGCTTATTTATTTATTTAGATCTGCAGATGCTTTCCTGCAACCACCACCAAAGCCTATGTAAGAACCTGATTCCTTAAAGGCTGAAGAAAAAAAAAGAAAATGAAAATTACACTTTTTTTAAAAAATGCCTAGAATTAGAAAACCACAGAGAAAGCGTTAACACACTCAGTATTCCCAAGCTGGAAAAAAAAAAAGAAAAACAATTCAAGCCTCAAGTTGCAATATTTTAAGATTCTATGGACAAAATTAAAAGCCACTGGAATGGAATTAATGAGAATGTACAAGTATGAAAATTGCAACTGATGTCATGGAACAATTTGTATAGAAAATGTTAAATGGGAGCCAATTGGCTGTGTTAATTTTCACTGAAAACAGAATATTTCAAAATAAAAAGAAAAATGGATGAGTTGAAGGGACTAAAAAATTCATAATGTCAGAAAGGCTTAGGCGTTGGCAAGGAAACAAAGAAAAATTTTGTTTTCAAACAGGAAGAGACCTTTCAGCGCTGAGTCTCCAAAGAACATTACTGAGTAAAAACAGAGTGGGTTAGAAGCACATAAAATCAATGGAGTGCCAAAATGTTGAAAGTATTGAGAGTAAGATGTGAAAAACATCATGGATTCTGATAGTGTATTCATCAGGAGTGACTCAAGTGAAGCGATGAGGAAGTGAAAGAACTGATTCATGGACAACAGCCATTCGAGGAGGAAGATGTTCTGGAGTTTGGCCAATGGTGGAAGGACATAGGGGCATTTCAGCTTCAGAAGACAAATGGACCTGCTGTTCTTCTTGTTAGGTGCTGTTGAGTCGAGTATGACTCATAGCGACCTTATGAACAAAAGGTCTGAATCCTGTTCTATCCTGAGCCATCCTCACACTTCCTGACACATGAGGGAACCCATTGCAGCAGTCACCATGTTAACTCACCTTGTTGAGGGTCTTGAAGTTGTGAAAAAGTGCCTCAATGACATGCAATCTTGTCTAATTTTTATTGGAAATGGTACATTGCGAAGCTGATGGGTTCAAACTGCCAACCTTTTGGTTAGCAGCACAGTGCTTTAACCATTGAAGAACTATTACTCCAAGAGTTCACTATCTTTTTTAGGGTGTCTTGCTATCTCTCTCCTGTATCATCTTATCGTGTCTTTAGCAATAACTACACGGTCCACTAAGAGATATTGTTTGCTTGTGTTTTTCATTTCTTAAACTGACTCCTTTAGAAGATAATGGAGAGACTGCTTTCTGTTATTAGATATGCTGCAGAAGCAGTAAGTGCAGGAAAGCCTGAATTGAGTAAAAGAGAAAGCCTGAAACTGTCAATCTCTAGAAATAAGAGGAAAAGTATGAGAAAATGTCAAGCTTCTAAGACCTTTGATTTCATGGGAGTCAAAAGTTTCTAAAGAGGATGGACACAGTTTATGCTATGGTTATACGCGGAATTATATACCAAAAACAACGATTCACTCCAAAGTATATTTTTAAAACAAGATGAGAGGATAGAGATCAAAACAGAAAGGTCTTGAAGGTGTGGAGGATCAAATAGGGCCAGGGTGGGTAGTAGTATTGGTTAGATAAGAAGGTACAGGAAGGGCCATGGGCTCACTTCCTTTGTATTTATTCTCCCAGGCTTAAGAAAGCTTCGTATTCATCACTATATCAACAGAAGAAACTATCACTAGAGGCGCATATCATGCTTAGTAAAAAAATGAGCAAAATGAGAGAGACCTTCAGATGTGACCAACTGACAGATTGACTCCAATGAGCTCAAACATAGCAACAGTGTTGAGAACATCACAGGACAGAACCAGGTTATAACGTGACATTCGCTCACTATGAGTCAGAGCCAACTGGGTCTGACTTTTTTTGTTTGGAGTGTTTTTGTTTTTATTTCACCTGAAAGGAGACCTGGTAGTGCTGTGGGTTAACCATTGGATTGCTAATGGAGAAATCTGAAGTCTAAGGTTACCTAGCTCTGCAGAAGAAAGATGGGGTATTTTGCTTTGTTACCAAGGTAACATTCCCCAAGTCCCGCACGCAGGCAGTTCTACTGTGTCCCATAAAATTGCTATGGACTTGCCGCAATGGCTTTTCTGGTCTGGTTTTCTATCTCACCAGCTGTCAAGACAGGATAATTATAAATTTACAAAAAGCTCCTTAATTAAGGCCAAGCAGCTTCCTGCCATTCTTCCCAGTTATCCTTTGTACAGCAGCATAGTAAGCACACTTTAAAAAA